TAGATAGATAGATAGATAGACAGACAGACAGACAGACAGACAGACAGACAGACCGACCGACCGACCGACCGACCGACCGACCCACTAGAAATTACATAATCACTTGCATTAATTGTTGGCACAGAAATGGTAAGTTAACTAATTTTATCTCACTCTTATCTTGGTGTTCACTGACTCTATTTAGACTTACAATTAGTGATTTTAATATAAAACAATGGATAGTATTGTAGTATAGTATGAAAAAGGAAGATAATTCCAGTTGTTCTGAATAAGTGCTGGAAACACATCTATGCCTCACCAACAGGGCCTTTGCAAACCTCTGATTAAATATGGATTATCCCACAAAGGTGAAGGAAAAAAGCTACCTTATCAATTGGGAATGAGGAGAGAAGAACCAAAGCACCCAGTACATCAAAACAGCAATTTCAACCCTCACAAAAGCTAGGAAGCTGCTTTTTCATTCACTTCCAATCAACAAAAGGCATGCATTTTCCTAATAGTTTGCCTCTTGTGCTTAATCACAAATGTGCCCATAATAAACATATTTTCTATAATACTAATCTATTATGAAGGAACTGCTACGACAGATACAAAAGTATATTCCTTATAGGAAAATAGCCACAGGGTAAGAAAAAAAGGAAGTAAGATTGACTAAGAGGCACTTGAGCAAATGTACTTACCAACAAAACTGAATAGAAGCCTGGTTGTGTCTCCCACTGTTTCAGTTGTTCCTCTGCTGGTTTTAATACAGAAGTATCTTGACTAGTGGCTTGGGTCAAGACTTGAAGAACAATGCTACTGGCACTATGGAGATCCATGAAAATCTATCCAAAACATTTTAGAAAAACGCAGTTAGCTTTCCTAAGAGGTCCTATTGCCTCTTTTGTACTGATTTAAGAATTTATTAAATGAAATATATTAGAGACATTCAAATTTACAAATATTTAAGGTTTTTTCTACAACAATTATTAGCAACAAAATTCATAAAAACTTATAGATCATAATAAAGAATTCATACATCATTGGACTCATCTTATGCAATTACATTACTGAAAACACTATGCTGGGCCAAGTATAATGCCAAAGTGCAATCTGGCATTATATAAATAGGCCCCAGGTTAAAATACTTTATCCACTCTTCCGACACTCTAATTCACTCATACTCACACATGAGATATTAGTGATTTCAAGTACTGAAAATATAAACAGAATATATAACTTTGCAACCACAATGGTCACTCATTCAAAAATACAATCTTAAATTCTGAATAAGTCCAGCAGAAAGCATAGTATTGATTTGCTAAACACAACTAAGTTGCTATGAATATTAATTTTTATATTTCAGGTCCGTTTCCCTCTTCCAATACTTTTGTTAAAGAAACTAGCTCAATTTATGGAGATAAATTTACTGCACCCATTCTACCCAGAGAATTTTTCAAATGTTTAAATAAAAAATTGGATTGCAAAATTTTGCGTAAGACACAAAATGAGACATATTTGCATACATTAGTCAGCTGTTTCAGTGCACAAACAAACCGAATTCTGTTCAGAATTCTGTTGAACAAAGAATTCTAATTATTTTCCATAGAATATAAATTTGTTCTCAAACTTCCCTTTAAAGTGTAATCTTGCAATATTAAAAACAAAGCTGAAATAACAGAACCCCAATGATTCATTAGCATAATTGCCAAAGAGCAACTTACAGTATTCAAATTTTTTAAAAATGGTATAATTCCAACTAAAATCAGGAAGCAAAATAAAACTGTCCTATAAAGCTTACAACTTACATAAAAGGAACACATTTACAGAGTGAAATTTTCTGAAAATTTATGCAATCTTTCATGCATGCTTACATTGCAAGGTGGAAGGAGGATTGATTTCTATAATAAACTGAAATGGCATATAAAAGAAAAACCTGGATAATAAAGATCACACTGATTCTTTCTTGCATTATGCTAACATTCAGACTGCACTCTTTTTTCCTAAAACACCAAAATTACTCAGAAATAACAAGACAGACCCATGAGAATATTACAATAGCTCTACTAGATCAGGCCAAGGACCACTTTAGTTCAACACCTTGTTTCTCTTAACGGCCATCCAAGTGTCTGTGGAGTGCCTGAAAGCAGGAGACAGAGACATACCTTTCTTTCACCATTATTCATCTGCAACTGATATTTGGAGGCATGCTGCCCTAGGATAAAGGTAACACTGACAGGGCTGTCCTCCATGCATAATCCTCTTTTAAAGCCATCTAAGTTACTGGCCATGATCACTGCTTTTAGTAATGAATTCCACAGATTAATTATGCACTATGTGAAGAACTTTCTTTTGTCTGTTCTAAATGTTCTTCCATTCAGCTTCATTAGATGGCTGGAAGTCAGCTTCATATTAGAAGTGCCAACATAACTCAGTAGTTTTGTGAGAAGAAAAATTATGGCATTTCATATTTGGCTTCTGTATTGAGAAGACTTATTGGTCACTGGGCCTTCTAGAAATAAAACCTTCCAGAAAATCAACAGTGGCTGAACACTGAAAAATCAGAAGAGGGCGGAAAAGGAGCACATGGATGGGAAGTTTCTGGGGGCAGGCAAATGAAGTTTTATAGATGCTTAGGTGTCTCTGGGTGCACATGCAGAGATCCCAATCACGCTTTAAAGTAGTATCTCTCAGTGGATGGCAATCATCCCACTAATGGTACATAGCAGTGGTCTAAATGGATGCTAGGCAAGTCCATTCAACTTTCCTCCTGGCAAATGGAAAAGTAATATATACATTTCTTTCCCCTGTTGAAGCTTCCCACTGCAGCTGTTCCAGTGCCACAAGGAGCTGCTGAACCAGCCCTCTGCTTTCCATTGATCTCATCCCCTTTGCATGTGGTTTAGCAGTTACTTCCTTCCTGGGCTTTTATGTATGCCATCTCAGGAGCCAGGCACAGCAGTTGAAGTTCATCTTGTCAAGCCAGGAATCCCTACCTATACTGAATCAATCAAGGAAGTGCTGGGAGAGCATCCTTCTGGAGGATAAAAAGGAGGAGGAAGAAGTTGCAGCAGCAACTTTGATGCACCTAGGGTTAGATTCCTTACTAAATTTATCATTTGGGACTAGCAAGAATAACCCAATCGCTCCTCCTTCCCCCAGATGTTTTAGAAGCTACCTCATCCACCTCCTTTTTGTTCATTCAAGCAAAAGGGCATTAGAGTATTTATTTCTCCAGTAACACATGCAAAGTAGGGAGAGTTCTGGAGTCCTTTAGAATCCAGCCAAATTTCAGCTCAAGCCTGTTCAGAAGTAAAGAGAAAGGTGAGTTTCACCTCTGTAAACATACACATGACTGAAATTTTACATCTTTTTGTTATAATTTTTTATTGAAGAGTTAGTCTAATAACAGAATACCTCTATATGTATAAATGTACTTTCTGGAAGGGGGTGGTGTTGTTTGTATTGTTGTAGGATCCAGGCACTTTTAAAGGACAAGAAGTTTAAGGTTGAAAATTTACTTATTAAAATATACGCTCTGTACTAAACAACAGAAACCATAAGCATCACTTTTAACTTTCCCCAGATTATGCAGCCGTCCGTTCTGCATAATTATTTTTCTCTTTATGAGACTATATGTTTACATTGTTCCAAAACAAGGACGCCTGCTTGTTGGTTTTAATTTCCTGAACTAAAAGAGAAGATGATTGGGGTTCATAATAATGAATTATTTAATTCATTACTTGATTGAGCAATGTGCAACTGCCTTTTCCATTACAACTTAATGTTCATGTGTCCCTCCTTTTAATAAGTCAGATGCAACCTCTAGGAAAGAACAATTTCTTCAGGTATCAGTCACCGAGGAAGAGTTCTACCTGTGGCAACTTTCCAGGAGACGTGACCATGTGTTACGCTGTGGTGAGATGTTCAGTGATACGACAGCTAGCATGTTTGTAAACCAAGGGTTCGGGGCATGAGAGAAAGAAAAACTGCGTCAACAGGCAAAGCATCTCCCGTGACAGAAGAACGTCTCCTCAGGCCGCGGGTCCTCCTCCAGGAGGGTGTCCAAGCGCATCCAGGCTTCAGGATCCACAAGCCTCTTCCTCCTCCACGCGCCTCCCGGGGCTTATCCAGAGGAGAGCGAAGCAGCGTGGCGACCCGCTCATTCACAGCCAGCAGCCCAGAGCGGCTACCGCCGGCTGCCCGGCTCACTTCAGTCACGGCAGGCCGCTCTCCGCGCCCAGGGTGCGGGGCCTCCGCCGGCTCGCTCCCTGACCGGAGCGGGAAAGAGGGACCGGACGGCCACAGCCGGGCGCGCTCTCGTCCTCTCCCTCCCTCCCTCCCTTACTTACCGTTGAAGCCCGAGCGCCTTCCCCTCCGTCCTCGGCCTCGCGCACGCGACTCCCGCTGGTTCTGAAGCTCGCGCCACCAGCCGCGGCTCACCCACCACCGTGCCGCGGCAGTTCGGCGCGCTACCAACGTCATCGCGCG